TGATATGGGATTGGCCCAACTGGAAGAGGATTGCCCAATAACTTCAATTGAAGAAGCCTACTAAATCGGACCTAACAATCAAACCAGGTGAAATCGCATTTGAAGAATGTGACTATTATTGCCTTTATTCTGATAAGTTGCTAGTTGCCCTCTAACATTGATCTTATCCATGATCAAAGATGATCTGTAAGAGTATAAATAGGGCCTTTTGTCAGATATCCTAATCTATTCTGTCAATATTCTTTCCATGTGAGAAGGTGTCATCTTTTAGAGTTTTCTTCATGAGTCTCTATTTATCTTTTCTTAAACTTCAAATTCTGATTGGACGAATCTGTGATTTATTTGTGAGATTAAAAGTCTGAGTGATTTGTTTAGAGAGAAGGGGATGATTTGGTGTGGTTGAGTTTTTCTAGTCCATAGAAACAACTTTGAGTGGCCTTTGTTCTATAAGGGTCTAGGTTGGTCTAAGGCTTCTGCATTGATATAGATGGGTACAACAATTTGAGCCTATGTGCTAGTTGGTTGGTTATAAGTTTGTAAATTTACATAATTCTAGATCAATTTTATGTTCTTGTGTATTTTAGATTGCGTCCTGTCGACCTGTAGTTAACGGTATTTGTGTGAATATGTTGAAAGAAATAAATCATGCGTTAGTACTATTGAATCAGGCTTGTGAAAGAGTATTGTTTATAGCTAGGATCTATTTTCTTGATAATAGAATGGAATGTAGATCCTAAAAATGAAAAGTTGATACATTAGTCACATGCCGATAACACAGTGATATCAGAATATGTTTGCAATTGTCTCGTACTATGTACATGTTGGTATTAATAGGCCCAATAATCCAAAGTAAATACAGAAATACGAAAGAAACACGAAGATTTTTCGCCCGAAGGCCTGGATATTCATCCAAAAGGGTTACGTCACCATGTTGAGCTTCTACCGAAGTGGTTAACGCTCTAATCCACTAGAAACCGGCAATAGAGTATCAATACAAGGTTTACAAACTATAGATCTAAAAAGATCAACTCTCAGACCCTATATTTTCCCTCACAAATTCGAACAAACAGATTACACCAAGTAATCTACTCACACTGTTCAGCCAAGAATAGATACAACCTCAACACCAAGTACACGAATCAGATCTCTCCAAGAACATCTACAGATTCAGAGATTGAACCAAAAACCAGAGGTTTCTCGAGAGAAAATTATAGAGAGCAGAAAAAAATGAAAAGCAAACCCTAGAAGCCTCTCGAATAATGACGGTAAGTGAAAAGTCTAAGGCCAAGTATAGTGAAACGACACTTGCATCCAACGGTTCAGCCGGCTCCACCTAGCACCATCTCGTCCATCCAATTAAAACAAATTGGAATCGCATTTGAAGGACACGACTTTGCAACAAGTGGGGGCAAAAACTGGGTCACAAACTTGGGCTCATTGTTGGGTTCCATCATTGGGCCAAAATAAAGGTGTTAAGCATTTTATTTAACAATCTCCACCTTGCTTGACACCTTTGGGTTTCTTTGTGGACTAGAGGTTAAGTCCTCCTTTGATATCATGTGCTCTTTATACCTACAAAAGAGATTTCAGTTAGGAATAATATTTAGGAGATTTAAACAATCCCTAAATTTATGTACAAGAAATATTTTTGTACCCATATGTGCTGGATTACACTTAGTGGATATCTTTTCAATTTTTATTATGTTCTTTTCTATGATGTCTCTTATAAAGTGGAATTTAACATCTATATGTTTTGTTCTATCATGAAAAATGGGATTTCTACTAAGATGTATAGCAGATTGGCTATCAGAATATATTAAAGCATCATTACTAGTAAAGCCAATTTCATCCAACTGATTTTTCAACCAAATACCTTCCTTTATAGCATCTGTTGTTGTAATATATTCAGCCTCTGTGGAAGACAAAGCTATTGTCTTTTGCAGCTATGATTTCTAGATTATGCAGGTGTCATTTAAAGTAAAAACATATGCAGATGTTGATTTTCTATTATCACAATTACCAACAAAATCAGAATCTACAAATCCATTTAATTTAATCCCAGTTTTCCTTTTTCCAAACATTAGTCCTAATTTTGAAGTTCCCTTAAGATATCTAAGTAGCCATTTCATGCCTTCCCAGTGTTGTTCACCAGGATTACTCCTATATCTACTTAGTACACTTATAGCAAAAGCAAGGTTAGGCCTTGTGCAAACCATAATGTACATAACTGAACCTACAGCATTTGCATAAGGGATTTTATCCATTCTATTTCTTTCTATCTCAGTTTTAGGACACTATTCAGTAGAAAATTTAAAATGACTGCCAAGTGGTGAGGTAACTTCTTTTGCTTTATCCATAGCAAATTTACATAGAATTTTGGAAACATATGACTCTTGAGTTAGAAATAGTGTGTTGTCACTTCTATTTCTCCTAATTTCAATTTCTAAGATTCTTTTAGCTGATCCTAAGTCTTTCATTTCAAACTCTTGTTTTAACTTTTGCTTGATATTATTTATTTCAGTTACATCACACCCAGCAAGTAACATGTCATCAACATAAAGCAAAAGATAATAAGACTCAGGACCTCCACCACCTTTATAATAAAAACAGGGATCATATTCACTCCTATTAAAGTCAAGACCTTTTATAAACGTATCAAACCTGATGTACCACTGTCTGGGGGCCTGTTTCAACCCATAGAGTGATTTTTGTAAAAGGCACATACAGTTTTCTTTTCCTTTTTGTTCAAAACCTTTAGGTTGAGTCATATAAATTTTTTCTTCTAAGCTACCATGTAAGAAAGTAGTTTTTACATCTAACTGTTCCAGTTCAAAATCAAATTGTGAAACAATACAAAGAAGAATTCTTATAGAGGTATATTTGACTACAGGTGAGAATATTTCATTATAGTCAATTCCTTCTCTTTGGTTAAAACCTTTTGCAACTAGTCTAGCCTTAAATCTTACATTTCCATCTTTTGAGTCATCTTCTTTAATTTTGTAAATCCATTTACAATCAATAACCTTTCCCCCTTTTAGTTTATTAACTAAGACCCAAGTCTTATTTTTGTCAAGTGAAAGCATTTCATCTTTCATGGCTGCTAGCCAATAACATGAATTTTTTCCCCCAATTGCCTCTTCATATGAACTAGGTTCATTGTCTAGAAAATTTCGTATGTTGAAGGCTGTGACAAAATCTGATTCATTGTATCTTGCAGGTGGTCTTATTTCCCTCCTTCCTCTATCTCTAGTAAGTTGATAGTCTTCTAAGGGATTTATTGGTGGGACAAGTTCAGATTCAATATCACGTTCAAGTTCAGGGGCTATTTCTTGTTCATTAGTAAACTCCACCTCAATCTGGTCATTGGTTTCAAGATCTGAAATGGGTTGGGGTTATTTCAGATTGAAGATATGAATTGTTTTTACTTATTTGAGGGGTTGCAGGTGTTTTTTCTTTAGTACAGGGCATGTCCATTTCATTGAATATTACATTTCTACCAATTATGACTCTATAACCTCTCTGACCCTTAACCCAGATCTTGTAGCCTTTTACACCCTCACCATAGCCTAAGAAAATGCCTTTAATTGATCTAGGTTCAAGTTTCCCTTCATTTTACATAAGTTGCATAGCCAAAAACTTTCAGTTTGGAGTAATCAACTAGGTGACCACTCCAAACATGATCAGGAGTGTCATACTTCAAAGATTTTGTGGGGCATTTGTTTATCATATATGATGCAGTTTTAATAGCTTCCCCCCAGAACAATTTTGGAAGTCCTGCACTAATTAACATGCGCCTAACTCTTTCTAACAGAGTCCTATTTATCATTTCTGCTAGACCATTCTGTTGTGGGGTATAGGTGACAGTCCTATGCCTTAAAATTCCATTATTATTACAGAAATTATCAAATACCTCATTGCAAAATTCAAGGCCATTGTCAGTTCTAAAGGTTTTAACCTTTTTATTTACCTGGTTTTCAATTAAGGTTTTTCATGAAATAAAGTTTTGAAAAGTATCTGATTTATTTTTCAAAAGAGTAACCCAGGTCTTCTTTGAAAAATCATTAACAATCAATAAGAAGTATTTAAAACCAGAATAAGTGTTTACTGTAGCTGGTCCCCACATATCAGCATGAAGATATTCAAGAATAGACTTAGATTTATGGACTCCTATACCAAAAGGTAGTTTTCTTTGTTTTCCATAAATGCAATGTTCACAAAAGGACACCCTTTCAATTTTTTCATTTCCTAAAAGGCCTTGCTTCTTAAGAATATATAAATTTTTATCACTCATGTCCTAGCCTTATGTGCCAAATTTCAGATTTATCAGGCTGAATTACTGCTGCTGAGATTGGTTTGTTTATCATTGGCAAAGTTTTTAAAACATAGATCCCATTAATTTTTTTAACACAAGTGATCTTTGTCAAGTTCTTTTGTAAATTCAAGGTGCCTTTGTTTATAGTTGTATCAAAACCTTCATCATCAAGAACACCTAAAGAGATCAAATTTCTCTTTAGCTTGGGAATGTATCTGATCTTGTTCAGAGTCAGTACATTTATATTTTCTAGTCTTAAATCAACTTTGTCAATTCCTTTAATTTTACAAGTAACATCATTTCCCAATATTACTTGACCTTCATTAATTTCAGTAAAATCAATAAAGTGTTCCTTACAGGGTGTCATGTTAAATGTACACCCTGAGTCAAGGATCCATTCATCCTTGATTAAAGATTGACAAGCCACATAGACTTGTCCATTTGAGCCTGTAGCTTCTTCATAAGCAATAGCAGCTCCACCTTCAATTTTATTGATGTTTTTCAGTTCATCAATCCTTTTAACACAATCTTTGATGAAGTGACCCATTTTCCCACAAAAGTAGCATTTCTTTCCTTTAGCATTATTATTGTTTTGATTAAACCTGGTCTTACCTTTATGAAAGTTTCCATTGTATTCTTTTGGTTTTCCAAGATTTTTATTTGGAAAGTTATTGTTGTTTCTTTTGAATTAATTATGTCCTCTGACAATATAACCAAAACCTATAGAGGAGGTTTTAGTTTCACTTTGAAACTCTAGTTCTTTATTTCTTAAAGAGGCAACAATAACTTCCACAGTAATGAAAGTTCTTCCATATTCAAGAGCATTTCTTAAATCTTTATATTTTTCCGGTAAGGCAGACAATAAGGCTACTGTCTGTTGTTCAATAGTGAGTTTTTCACTGCTATTTGTGAGATCTTGAGTTAGTTTATTAAATCTGTCTAGATTTGCTTCAAGATCAAAATGTGGGTCAAACTTGAAACTAAAGAATTGTTTCCAAAGATAACATTTATTTGGAAGTGATTTCGTTTTATAAAGTGATTCAAGTTTTGTCCATATTTCTTCAGCAGTCACAGTCTTTCCTACTTCCCTAATGATACTATTAGACAAATGTAAGAAAATAAAACTCCATACAGTGTCAATTTGTTCGTTTCTTTTTCTTTCTATGAGATCTTCATCCCAAGACTCATCAAGAGCTTTCACACATTGATGTTGCATCAAAAGTGCTTTCATTTTTTAACTCCAAAGTGTAAAGTTCCCTTTTTCATTCCAAATCTCTATATCAACTTTAGTACTTGTCATTATTTTTGAAAGAATTTTTAACAAAACCTGTTGGCCAAAGCAGATTGAGATTTGTAGTGTAAAAAATTTTATATGCACAAATGTATACACAAAGTATTAATGTGCAGATGACTCTCACACAAGTGCACAGAATATACAACACAGTGAGCAGGTAAATCAGATAACCAATAAACCATAAAACGGTTATTTTCAGTCAACAAATTTAACATCTAATCTTAAAGAGGACCTTAAACCTAGTCCCCTCATATTCTAGGGTTTTCGTATGAAACCCTAGATAAAGGTAGATCTAGGTGGGCCTTCAACCAAGAACAATAGAGTTATCTGAAGAATCGAAAAATTAGGTTTAGGGTTAAAAAACTCGTTACCAGAATTGTCTCAGGCCAATAGTGTAAAATAGTGAATACCAAGACTATTTTACTTTTCAGCAAAAAACAGCGAGTCAAACGCTCATAGAAGTAGTGCCACAAAGGTAATGGTCTTTGACCATCAAGAAGAGCACCAGAAACCAAGAACCGGATTATATATCAGATCGAGGATGCTCTGATACCACTGTTGGTATTAACAGTCCCAATAATCCAAAGTAAATATAGAAATACGAAAGAAACACGAAATTTTTTCGCCCAAAGGCTCGGATGTTCACCCAAAAGGGATGCGTCACCACGTTGAGCTTCCACCGAAGTAGTTAACGCTCTAATCCACTAGAAACCGACAATAGAGTATCAATACAAAGTTTACAAACTATAGATCTAAAAAGATCAGCCCTCAGACCCTATATTTTTCCTCACAGATTCGAACAAACAGATTACACCAAGTAATCTACCCACACTGTTCAACCAAGAACAGATACAACCTCAACACCAAGAACACAAATTAGATCTCACCAAGAACATCTACAGATTCAGAGATTAAACCAAAAACTAGAGGTTTTTTTAGAGAAAATTACAGAGAGCAGAAAAAATGAAAAGCAAACCCTAGAAGCCCCTCGAATAATGACGGTAAGTGAAAAGTCTAGGGCCAAGTATAGTAAAACGACACTTGCATCCAACAGTTCAGCCGGCTCCACCTGACACCATCTCGTCCATCCAATTAAAACAATCTGGAATTGCATTTGAAGGACACGACTTTGCAACAAGTGGGGGCAAAAATCGGGTCACAAACTTGGGCTCATTGTTGGGTTCCATCATTGGGCCAAAATAAAGGTGTTAACATTTTATTTAACAGTACAAAACATGACAATAACGAACATATGAAAATGAATAAATTATAATACACCTAGAATTTCAATTTACATCATATAGCAAAATATGTAGAACAACCCATGATAACTACAAAATCTATCTACGATTTGTGGGCAAAGGGTTGAAACATTTTTCCTATTGTCCTTGTGCACCGCATTGTCCACAATTTGTAGGTCTCCTAGGAACTTCAGCGATAGAGCGCCTCCATTGAGTTGGTAGTCTCCTATTTGCCGACGAACTGATGGAGGCAATGTCATAATATAATGGAAAGCTAGCTGAACAATGTAATATGCCTCATAAGGCAAGGGGTAATGGGCTATACATATGCTCTTCCACAATATGCGATCGTGTCGATAGGAAAGCACAATTCATAACATAGCTTACCAATTAAAGTTGGAGCTCGAATAGCATGTTCACAAGCCATTAAATGCTCAAAATCTTTGAGCATTGTGAAAATATACCCTACTAAATACTCAAAGTCTTGGTAATGATAAGAGTGGAATGCTCAAAGAAATATGTAGATGAACAAGTTCTCATGGTACTTTTTTTTAATGTTGTTCTGGAGGTTCCACATACAACAACCATGTTTGGAGTGAGGATTAATTCTTTTACCATATTGACTACGTTATTGTACTGATTCAAAATGAATGTTCTGGTTTGAGATGAGAAAGGAGCATTGGTCGAGCGCCGTGAATGAATAAGAAAACAAGATCTAGTGAGTTCAGATTTATTCTTCTAATTTTTTCATATACAACCTCCAAGAAGTAGCATTCTCAGAGTCAACAATCCCACATTCAAAAGATAGATTTGTATATTGCCATCCTATGCTAAGGCTACAAGCAAACTGCATTTATTTTTACCTTTAGATGATTCAGTAAACAAAAATCAGTGGATATATGTACATATTAAATCCAATTGTGCATGTACCAAACACGAAGACAAAAAATAAAAATGATACCTTGTTGGGTTTTGATACCCAATAAATCTCAAGGTATGATGTTAAACGGTTTGGATTATATTTCATAGGCATCTATTGATGAGTGAAACTAGCAACACAATCAATTAAAAGGCTTGACCTGAAAGCAACCAGATGCTATGACCCAAATTTCACTTCTTGGATGGCTCCTATATTCTTGGCCCATTTAGTATGACCTAGCCCATTTTAGTTACAACCTAATCCTATATAAATTAATGTCTTTCTGCTGTGAAAAAGATCGTGAATTTGTAAGGGAAAAAAACCACGGCTACCTACTTTACTATCCTCTCTCTTTGTGCTTGAGTATAACCTTATTCTTCTATTGTTCTTTCTACTCTTTGTGACTTGCAAACTCATCACCATAACTTTATCTAAGTAGGTGCAAAAGAGGAACAACTGAAGTAGTGGTGGATTGAGTTTTTGGTTAACTGTGTTAGATTTGGGATAAGATACTGCAAACTGATCTCGAAATCCACCAATTGAAGAACAATTCTGATACATTTGGTATCAAAGCCACATCGGTGTTAAATTTTCAGTTAAAAATTGACCAAAAATTGTTCTAAAAATGCAACAGAAAATAGAGAGAAAGTAGCCCAGTTCTTTGAAAAATTGTGCCTGGACTTGGTTCTATATTTTTTGATGAAACCACTTATGTGTTGGACGAATGAAGACCGCTACATGTTCATCAAACCGAGGCAAACCTAGGTGGGTAATCAGTGATCAACGATAGGGGCATTGAACTCTGACGATCGAGAAGAACTCTATATGGTATTCGTTTTTAGTTTTGAGTGATGTTGTGAAGCTTGGATGATTTTATCCCTAATTTGGGATTCATCTTTTTACTCGATTGATTGTTGCAGTTGTTGGAGACTCTAGGACAAATAATGGTGGTCTTAAAGTGATAAATTCGTATCTTTCATAATTTATGAACTTAGATTAGTCTGCATTGGTATATTAAATTATCCCAATTTTAAATTTTAACATTAGTGCATCATCGTGTGGGGGGTAACAATAGGATTAGGGTTACTTTGAAGGGATAACCATCACCTGTAATAGAAATTTACAAATTACTTGCTTTATTTGAAGTGTTGGACTTAACTATAAGTTAATAATTGCTTCTATGTTTAGTTGCCTTCATTACGTGAGAATCTAAATTTTTTATTAACATAGATACGTGTTGCATTGTTCATTCTGTTAGAACGCCTGGACTTGATCCGTTTGAGCTTTCCGTTGATCTAAGATCACAAAACTTACGAAACACTGAAAATTTAGAACGGTGTATACTGCGACCTTAGGATTACTCTATATGACCTATTTTTGCATTTTAGTTGTTCTGTTTTCTTAAATTCTGAAATTAGAATTTTCAATGGGAAATGAGATTTTTCAATTTGACAACAAAAGATGAAGATGCTTTTAGTTCAACAAAAAGTTTCAAAATCCATAGACAGAAAATTCCTTGCAAAATTGACTGAAGTTCAAAAGAAATAATATGATGAACTTACTTGCATTTGAATTATTTTACACTTATCCAAGACAGTATTGGGAAGAGTTGGAAAACTTGACTCTACAAAAGAATTTTGGTAAAAGTTTGAGGACTTATATTTGTACGTTCTTGAAAGGTTTTTCAGTTTTAAAATGGATCCTTCAAAGGATCTTAAAGACAATTTGGATGTTTTCAATGAGCTTGTTCAAGCATTGTTAACTGTGATGGAAAGATGTTTGAAACTTATAAGTCCATTGTTTTGTTTAATTCAATGCCTGATTTATATGAGAGGTTTAGAGTGTAATTAAGTATAGTAGAGACACCTTAACACTCGATATTATCATATGTTGACCTCCAAAAATGGCTCCTCCACGTGGCCAACTTATAGCTACTCCACGTATTCCTCCCTGCGAAATGAACAAATAGTCAGGCGCACATGGCCGGAACCGACGGGGGTGGCGGCCGTATACACTCCGACGGTCAAGTCAGGTTTGGGTGGTCGGAACAGTGCCCTGGGGCTACACAAATCAATCAATAAAGGGGGAGGAGAATATATATAAACTTGTTATGAAGTGCTATCTATTGAGAGTTTCCCTACCTTTGCCTCTGGCCAATCTTTGGGTATTTATAGATGGTATGAACCGTGGGATGTGGAACACGTGTATACATCTGACGGTATGAAGTGTCTGCTCATAGACGTCAATCAGCCGCGCTTGTAGAGTGGGCGGACAGTTTGTTTCCCCCTAGTTGAATTGACATAAAGTTGATAAGTCACATCAAATAGCTTTATGGGGGACGTCACATCAATTTAAACCTTATATGCAGAGCAAATCTTAAATTGGCAGCGATTCTTCTAACGGGGGTTCAAGCCACTTGAACCCGACCTCGGAGACGGGACACTTCGGAAGATCAGTGGCAGGAATCGATGTATCACTTCGGAGAGGCTTCGGGGGGGTCGGAGTGGTTCCGAGGCTCATAAAAAGGAAATCTGTTGACCTCCAAAAATGGCTCCAACAGGCACCCTCGCTCCGTCCCCTCGAAACCTTAACATGGGAATTGAATTCATATTATAGAGAAATGATGTGAAATGGGCTAAGGCGGGTTAATGGGCCTAAGTTCGAGCCCAGTACGAGGTGAGCAAAGTGATAGGCACTTCGGCTAGGCGCACAACACTAATGGCCCTAGCTCGGGTCCAATAAGGTGGCCCAATATGGAGTAATAATTCATAGGCGTAACACCCATGTTTTTGTATTATTCGTCACCACTTTCTCAAAGAGTCCGTTTTCTTAATTGTACACGTTGACCTATATTGTTGTTGTTGTTGTTGTTGTTGTTGTTGTTGTTGTTGTTGTTATTATTATTATTATTATTATTACTACCACTACCACTACCACTACTACTACTTGAGTATGTTGCGGTCACCAATTCGAGTCCCCTCAGAGCCGCAAAGGTGGGTATCTGGCTGTAAATTTCTTGGTCCCGTGGAATTAGTCAAGGCGCATGTAAGTTGGCCCGAATACCCACGGTCATAAAAAAATATAAAAAAATTTAGGATAGTTTGAAGATTGTCGAGCTAGTGTAGAAAAACATATGATTCGGATTTCTGTCTAAGGCCAATAAGATTGAAGATTAGATGAAGAACTTGAATTACGGGTCTATTTTTTAAAATTAAGTTTTAATAAGGACTATTGCATTAATCATTGTATAAAAAAGTGAAACACTGACATGTCATAAAGCTACCCTAAAAGATCCCAATGAGGACACATATTAAAAATGCCAAAAAGAAAATTTAAAAAGGATTTGGTTAGTGTGTGAAATAGAAGACACACCAAATAATTTGATTAAGCACCGAATACTTATTTGAAAGAACTAAACTCTTAATAAGACATAATTAGCCTAGTTAAATCTTAGCAATTAAAGAGGTCAAAATATAGGAGAATCCTTAGTTGCTAAAGTGTTTAACTACTACTAGTGAAACCAATTCAAACTATAGAAAGTGAGGATTAGGAAAATCTGAAATTCAACCTAGGACCACATCTTAGGAAAATTGAGTGAAAAAATTAGTTTGGGGTTCGCACGAGTGAAGAAATTGAGACATTTGACCATTGTGGCTTGAAAATTGAACCAAACACGGGTTTGTGATTTTACATAAGTCTTCACACACACACACACACACGTCGAGTTTTGCATAGAATATGTAGAGATTAATTCTGCTATGTTATTTTGAAACTACTATTTCTATTGACACATAAATTTAAATCTTAAGACCAATAGCATGTTTTTAAATAATTTTATTTTGAGTTAGGTTATTGTTTGTTTGAGTATAAACAAATATTCAATTTTGGAGAAGTTTGATAACTTTATTTTGTACACTTATTTGGCCCTTCGCCTTAGAGTATGTATTGGTTAGTTTAATGAATTATAACTTAATTCCATGTGTATTGTTTTTTAAGGCACAAATCACTGAAAATGGTAAAATTGAAGAAAATTGGCTGGAAAATAACTCAATTGCAATAAATGCAAAGTTCAGAGATTAAAATAGAATTTAGAAAAAGTTGGATCATACCTCAAAACTATTCGACAATGCTATGGTCCAATTGGTCGAGAAAAAAGAGAGAGGAAAAACTAGCTGAAAAGAAGTCAAGAAGGTCCCCAAGTCATGAGTCAGGCATGCACCTACCCCTCACAATGGCCACTTGAAGCTCAATGGAGCCAGATACACATGCTCAATGGAGAGGAGAGAAGAAAAATAAGAAAATATAAGTTATCTAGACATACTTAATTTCAATAAAACTTAAGAAGCAACTTCATAATTTTTTAGACTTTGGCAGGTTATAGGCTTTTTCCCAACAAATTGCCTACGATAACTACGTCTCTTAGCAAATTAGCATATGACACCAAAAAAAGGTCAAAAACCATGTGCCACGGCGGCAATTGATTTCCCTTGTCTGAAATCCAATATGTCTTCTCTCCCCACCCGTCCAGATTTTTATTTTAATTAAATTTTTTATAAAATAAATATATATACTATACACACCACAACCCTAATCAATTCCCCAATCTTCTCTAGCCCGTCTCACTACTTCTCTATCTAAACCCAACCATCACCTCCGCTAGTCTCATCCTCGCTTCCCGTCGTCGCACCCACCCTGTCACCCACCGGTAGTTGATATTTTATTTCTCTTCAGTCGGGCTTGTGTTTAACAGATGTTTCTTTTCGTAGGTTCCCTCCCTCGGTGCGAGCTGTCGACAGAGGACTTCGACATTATTTGCGTTATTTATCAACTGCCTCAGAAGAAAAGATCATATCACAGGCTCATTCGGAAAAACATACACTTCATCACTCACGAATTAATGGCGTCCCAAGGTAATAGGACCGAAGCCCACACTCTTTTAAACTGAACTCCCTATACTTGTATTAATTCCTCACTCGTTTCTTTGCAGATAACTTCAAGAAGAAGCTGCCAGTACGCCCTGACTTCAAAACAATTCAGAAAATGATGGCCGAAGCAAGGGCGCTGAAGGCCTCCTCCTCTTCATATAAAAAGCAAATGGAAGAGCTGGTGGAGGCTAGTAAGAGACTTCAGCCTCCGACGGAGGAGGAGGTTCAGGAGGATCCAGAGGCCGACCTTCAAAGGAAGGGCAAGAAAAGTGCTGTACCTCCCAGACGCCCCACTGTGGCGAGGCCACCCCCAGTTATGCGGCAGACAACTATTCCCACGGGGGTGGCCCTCCCAGAGAGAAATCCCACTGCTACGGAGCCTGTTGCTGCCCCGGACGCGGCGCCCCTCGCGGCTGTACCTATCGAACATGTTCCGGGGCAGCAGAGGAGAAAAAGGGCTCGCTCCAGCAAAGAGGTTGATTTCCTCGGCTCCAGTTCCGAAGAGCCGGTAAGGGAGGTGCTGGAGGCTCTCCCTCCAGAAACAGCTGCGGTAGCGGTGGTCCACGGCAAGTATTGGACCGAAGAGTGGAGGGAACACACCGCCTCCTGTACTGCTGAAGACTTGGTGGCGGCGAACAGCGCCTGCGTGGCCCGGGCACTAAGTACGAGTATCCAACTCGAGGGCTTGGTGAAGGATCTAAACTCCAAGAGGGAGGACCTCGCTAAGCGCCTCGAGGAGGCAATGCATTACGGGGACGCTGTGCGAGCTGCCCAGGCCAAAGCTGCCAAGGCAGAGGAGGAAAAGAGAGCTGCTGAGGTCCAGCTCGCTGCTTCGCAGGCGGAGGTGGAGCGGCTGAAAAAGGAGCTCTATGAGGTGGAATGCCAGGTGGCTGTGGTGACTCGGCGGCTTGACCACGCTAATGAGCACCACAAGCTTGCCACCGATGCCCTAGAGGCCTCCAACAGAGAAAAAGCGGAGCTGAAGCAGCATGCAGAGGCCCAGTCAGTGGAGATTGCCTCTCTGAGGGAGGAGTTAAAGTCTGCGGGGGAGGTGGCGGTTCAAAATTTTATTGATCACTTCGAGGACCATCCCCTTTATGACGACTTTGCCAACTTCTGGGCCTCGTGGAGTGCCCAAAGCCTATTGGGTCGGCTGAAGGAGGTGCATCCCACACTGGACATCTCTCAACTAGAGGCAGAGTTCGGGGGACCCACTGGAGGTCGGCCTGATAGATTCTTGTGTTGCCCCTTTCTTTCCAACAAGTTACTCGTCTTCTTTTTGTATGGCTGGCTCTATCGTTTTGGTAGAGGAAACTACCCAGAAAATCCCATCCCGTCTGGTTGCTGTCTTTTCTCTTTTGGTAGAACATTGTCGCTCGGAAATTTTTCAATTTTCGGTGACCTTTAGGTATGTGGTATAACATGGTTAACGTAGCGTTTCCCACAGACGGCGCCAATCTGTTGACCTCCTTCTCGCTCTCCAACAGGTTCCCTAGCCTCGAGTCCTCGATACCTGCGCATGTAGCACCCCGTCAAGAGGCAAAGGCGGCCGAACAAGAAAAATGTCCGGCGACCGTTTGCACTCCGACGGTCCAGTCAACGGCCGGACGGAAATAAATATATAGAGTGCAATAATATGGCGATGGGGGTTTGGCTAGGAATGTAGAACATACCTTGATTGTGTGAGTTGAACCCATATATATAGAGAAATGGATGTGAAGCGGGCCAAACGGGTTAGTGGGCCCAAGTCTGAGCCTAATACGAGGTGAGCAAAATAATAGGCGCCTCGACAGGCGCTTCGGCTAGACTTCTAGGGCCTCGGCTGCGCCTCGGTTGGCCTTCTCAGAGCCTCGGCTTTGGGGCCCAACACTAATGGGCCTAGCTCGGGTCCAATAAGATGACCCAATATGGAGTGATAATTCATAGGCGTAACAGTAGAAATGGATGTGAAGCGGGCCAAACGGGTTAGTGGGCCTAAGTCTGAGCCTAATACGAGGTGAGCAAAATAATAGGCGCCTCGACAGGCGCTTCGGCTAGACTTCTAGGGCCTCGGCTGCGCCTCGGTTGGCCTTCTCAGAGCCTCGGCTTTGGGGCCCAACACTAATGGGCCTAGCTCGGGTCCAATAAGATGACCCAATATGGAGTGATAATTCATAGGCGTAACA